TCCTCCTCTGCGCCATTCTACCCATCAGACTCCTGCTTCGTGAAATGTTCGTGACTCGGTGAAGCTTCCGTGACCTCTCCGCTCGGCCGTCGGACTGCGTGCCTGCCGGGGTCAGCCGTGTCGGCCCGTCCTCTGAAACCCGGCTCGGTGCTGAGTCGATCCGCCGCTGTTTACAGAAAACCGAGGAAAAGCAGAGTATGCCCTGGGCCGTGTTTGTTTTGCCGGCGGGATCGGCGTGTTCTCAGTCTGACCTCGATAGGCCCAGTGTCGGCTCCAACACTCCGTGGTGTGTTCAATGGTAAACTGATCAGTTCACCGTGAGCTGACCAGTCCAGGTCTGGCAGGGAACTGCTCTGGGTGTAAGTTAGGTGGAGATAATTTTCTACCGCGCCTTGTTCTCTTTACACGTGAAACTAGGGTTTCGCTGTAGCATTATTTTGGCGGAATGGGAAAAAGTGGACGAGACTATCCTGCGAACTAAACTGTCCACCCGCGCTGTAACAGTCGCTAGACATATCTCCGGCGCCGGAAGCTACTTAGTACTTTCAGCCAGTCGGTGAGCCTATGCGGGTGTCAATGCCGGCCGCTGCTGACAGTCCACTCCCGACTGGGCGGGGTGACGGGACGGCAACAGTGCAGAGCTGCCGCTGCTGTTACCGGGCCGCGGTCGGAAGCCGCTCTATTTATTGTCGGCCGGTTCAGTACCTCGGTGTATCGCGCTACTGGTCACTTCTGAGTTCAGAAGCTCTCCAGGAGAGAGTATGTTACACTAAGTGCTTCAGAGAGGCGTAAGCTAGGGTGAAATTAAGCTTTCCACTTTTCTGGCTGGTAATTGAGAGGGTTGAGGTTTCTCGGCTCTCGTTGTTGGTAGTTCTCAGGCAACATTGGATATTTTTAGCCAGCATCGCACAAAAGGCAATGCTGTTTTGCCATACATCTGTGGCACTCAGAGGACTAAAAATACCCAAAAAGCTTATATCCCTGGCTGTTCTGAAGCTGACCTGTTTCTCGCCATTCGATCCTGTTCCGCCGCTACTGTGACTCCCCTGTTGTGTATGTTTCTGTGGCTGAGCCACCCCTCCTCCGTCGATAAGTTTCCGACCGTCACCGTCGACCGCCCCTGTTCGCTGACGCCGCGCCGCCCGCCGCCGACACTTGTCCTGTCGTTGTCGTTCTGCTGATGTACAGACGCTGTCGGTATTTGCGCGCATCATCTCTGCATGTACACAGCTGCCGGTGTCGTGACGTCAGCGAGACGCGCCATCCCTCAGCGCGCCGCGCGCAAGTGTTTTCATTTGGTCGCGTCAGCAAGAAAACACTCGGTGCGGTAAACAGGGTACCGGGCGCGGCGTGGAGTGGGGACGGGGCGGCGCGCGCGGCCTATTTGGGTCAATGTTAGGGCCGCCCGACTGCCATGGGAGAGCGGGGGCGGCGGTCACACAGGGAAACAAACACGGAGGGAGCCAGAGGTCCGGTTCTGCGGCCGCGGAGCGCTGGCCGTCAACAGGCCCCGGCCGGTCGGCCTAACAGGGGCGACACACAGACGGCATACCGCGGCTAAACAGGAAACGCCGCCGCGAGACGAGCGCCGCCGCGGAGCGCTAGAAGCGCCGCGGAGCGCGAGAAGCGCCGCAGAATGCTTTTCTCGGCGATTGCGACACGGCACAACGCGATACCGCGCCTCTGTGTATCGTCACAGGCCATGTTACGCCACCATCATCAGCCGAAGAGCGATTTAATTGGGGGATATTGGATTCGGATATCGCACCTCCAAATACAGCACCTGGCGACAGCAACAAACCAACACCTGCACAGGAAACGTCGACCCAAATGGGAGTCGCAGTGATGTATTGCGTGCTCACGCGCCTTGTTTGTGAGCCGGGTACCACATTCCATCATGTTTTGTTATAATTGAGTGCGTGTCTGCTCCGTTGGTACCAAACAATCTTCCCAGATCCACACTTGATCCAGATCCCTGTAAACATGTCGTTTTTGTGGAATGTTTACGTAAATAGTCGTGGTGGCGGCCGATAGAATCTCCCTTGGTTTTCCTGTGTGTGTCGCCTATTTATTCCGGTGGTTGCAGTGTGTGGGACGCTGCTTGTCTCCCCTGGTTTGTCTCCGACCGGGCGCTGGGCTGGGACCGGCACCGGCGCCCGCTGCCGCCGCCGCGGCCGTATTCAAAAGGCGTACCGGCCGCCGAGGCGGGCGAACATGGCATTACGACGCTTATTATTGGGTATTGGTGGAGGGCTTTGTAGCATTAATTTCCCTGCCCGTCGCGCAGTTCAAATTAGTTGGCGTCTGATTTGCATAAAAGAGAGATGAAATGTGTTTTTGTTGGAGCAGAGAAATCTTTTTTCGCGAGGGATTTGAGCCGCCGGCAGTTCCCCTTAGTTGTCAATCTGGGATACAGCATCGCTAATTATCGCTGGGCCGTCTTCCACCCGCTTAGCTGCATTTCTGAGAGAGCAAAAAATCCCTTCGACGATAATCAAGCCTATGTTAATTTTCACGCCATCTAAAAGGCTGGGACACAAACATCGGTCTTATTTTTCTCTGTTCTTCACACTGACGCTCCAATAGCTCTCAAGTATTTGCATTTCATACACGATATCTCTTCTAACTAATTAGAGCTATACTACATGCAAATAGCTGTGCAAACTTTTAAAAATTTCCATTTAATGGAAAAAGCCTGACGAGATTAGAGGAGCAAGGCGGCAGGGGAAAACAGCGCGGCGTGGATGACGCGAGACCGCGCCGGTTCGGCCGCGCGCTCGGCGCCGCGCGCACAGAAGTGCTTAATTGTCTTGTAGTCGCGCACCGGAGCAAATTGGATCGAGAAGTGGGCGCGATGAAAAATGACGACCGCCGCCGGCCGGCCGTCTGTCGGGGGAGCGGCGGGCTGTTCGCTGAGTCCGCTCTTCTGGCGGGATCGGCTCAAAGGGAAATTAGCGAGCTACTAGGCACCCAAAGTCAGAGCCATTCTTTTGGTAAAACATTAGGTTCTTGTAAGTTTGCACATACATGCGGGCGGTATGCTTTAGAGCGGTGGTAGCCAGTATCTTTGCTATGGGTAGGCCGTTATATCTCATTGTATCTTTGTATGGAAACACATTCAGAGTAGTATTGAATATGTGAGGGTTAAAACAAGTGATTTAAAATGTACCAGAATGTACTTATTCAATAGTTCTGCATCTGAACCGTCCCGACCGGGAAAGCTCAATCGCTCTAATGCATTGCAGCGTCACCCGGTATTCGGGCCGATGGCTTTTGGTCGACCCGGTGTCTGACGCTAACAAAAATCATAATACATCACGCTATCTGCGGGGTCCATCCGAGACAAAAAGACGCTTAGCCAGTGGCGACTGAGAGGTCTTTATTTGCCGCGGCCGGTGACTGGACGGCGACAATTTATCCAGCCGCCAAAAACGCTGAGAAATGGCGGGAAAGGTAACCGACACGGCGCGACAGGGATGCTGATTTGACGCAAAAACGTCGATTTGTAAAACGAATGATACGCGAATCGGCGTGAGAAATTAACCGTGCTCCGATAACCAGGATGAATCGGGCGGCCGCCCCGCCCGGTCCGCCGGCTAGCCAGCCACTCGTCGCCCCTGTTCTGTCATATTTTCTCAGTTCTCTCTCGCCGCGAAATCGGCCGCCAAAAATGGCACAGTCGTCGCGGTTCGGCCCGGCGCGGCGCGAAATGGTTTTCCTGTTTGGTATCGCCACTAATGAGTCAAAAAAGGAAATTACAAACGCTAGAGGGGCAGCCATATTTTAGCAACAGGCCATTAACGCCGGCCAGAGACGTCCGGAGCGGTGTCTGAGCATGCACATTTCAGAAAGTTTATCTCGAATGCTTAAATAGTCTGTTAAGCTCATCATTTGCATGCCGTTAATTTTTCATCAGCCACCGGCGGGCGATGAGCGGGGCCGGTAATACGAGCTCGTATCTCTGCCGGGGGCGGCGGCCGGCGCCGGCTCGGCACGGGCCGGGCGCACGGCCCCGGCCCGGCACCTGCCCGCTCCGCTGACTGAGAGCCGTCCGCTCTTCCGGAGCCGGTCGGGCCGAGAGCGCCCATTTCGGCGCCGCCAATTAATGGGCAGATTTTTCGCCTTAATTTCCGGAGCGGCGTCGGGGAATTTTACGAGGACCGGCGCGAGACGAGGCACCGCTCGACGGCGCCGGTCGGAGCCGGTGTCGGCTCCGGTCGGAGCCGGTGTCGGCCCCGGTCGGAGTCGATTTCTGTACGGGTGCCGGGCTGATTCCTCACCTCTACCCCCGCAATCTCCAACCGGAGGTACAGCCTCAGTATTGCGACGCTCCGCCTCAAGCCGCATTCATATGAGGCCGAGCCGTGATGCTGCAGCGCATGACATCAATGCAGATGTGTCGCTGCGTGACCTATGACGCCACCGCCGGCGGCAGTGCTAATAATCGTCAGCGGGGTGGGGATGGGACGGGAGTCCGCCGCGGGCGGCACGTCCCACCGGGAAAGGTCGCGCCCGGCCAGCCGGAAGCCTCTGTCCTCTCTGATACGACCCGACACGGTCAGCGTACAATACAGCCGGGACATCAGCTGGTGGACGCCGGAATGTGTCGTCAGACGCGGGTTATGACATCCTCCACCTTATGTGTGGGCGGTGTTTTACCGTGATATGGCGTGATGTCATGTCACTTCAGTTGGTCAATCACTCACCTACTATATGTAGTATCAGCGATTCTTATGGCCGAGACATTTGTTGTTTCTGTTGATGTTTGTATTATTGTTGTTATTTTTGCTGTTACTGCTGTTGTTATTGTTGTTGCTGATGTGGTCCCTGTTATCCCTGTTGTTGTTGCTGTTATGTTTTGCTATTGTTGTTGTCCTTGTTGTTGTCCCTGTTGTTGTCCTCGTTGTTGCTGCTGTTTTGTATCTGTTCCTGTTGTTATCGTTGCTATTTTTGCTGTTATTATTGCTGCTGTTGCTGACGTGGTCTGTCGTCCGTTGCAGGATGACGGTGCTGTGATGGAGGCCGACGCTCGGGAAGAGACGCACCCGTCGTCTCAGGCCATCAACCTGAGCTCGTCACGCGCCCGGCCGGTGCCCGTTAACGGTCTGGAGCCGCTCGACCCGCCGGTGAGTGTCCAGGGTGACGTCTGGGAGGGGGGGGGGGCGTGTTTTGTTACAGTTGCTACTCCAGAGTCGTCATTGAAATTTTAAAGTCAGCTAGACAATACCGGAGAGCACCGGCTAATGCTAGAGGACACCGGTCGACGTATGATGTGTTTGGTGGAATCTTGAGATCACTAACCGGTCATTAGGTTGACACACGAGGTCATTGATTGACATTGGAGTTCATGACTACTTCTGGAGGTCACGGGTCGACACCGGTCCGCCATGTTTATCCGTCCTGGGCCACGTCACGGACATGCGCCGTGACTGTCTATTTTGTGCCGTGAAATTAGGGAGGGTAAACGGTCGGCACAGCACACGTCAGGTGTGTCCGACGCCGACCCTTTGTGACGTCATTGAGGTGGCAACTGGCCAGTATAAAGCAAAGGTATGGAGATAAGGTTATAATGTCTGGGGAGAAGGCTAATGTTTACGATATTTACGTAAGTAGCCTGCAATTATCTCGGTAGCTAATCGATCTAAATCAAGCTCCTCGGCAGGTGAGGCATTAACCTGTGGGTATCGGTGTCAGATTTAATTACACCCTTTATTAGCTGGCTGTTATGTCTAATGAGCGCAATATAATGTCACAGCCATGTGACCGCATAGTTACATTTTGCAACCTTTTTTAGTTGCCGCGTGATCTACCTAAATGCGTAATAGCCAATGGAATAAAACTATCGTAAAGTAATTAATAATAGGGCATAGCTTCCTTTACAATCCACGATGTTTGTATGCTCTGTATGTACAGGGTGGAAAGTAATTACGCGAACATACTTTTTCGTCTTATAGCAATGGAAAAAACGGCGGTAACATGAAAATTTCATCTTTTCATATATTCCTATTTATGTGCGATACACTGACAAAGGCGTTCAGGCATAATTGACATGAGCATGTCAAGCACTGTTGGCCAAAGCTTAGTCCACGCCTCCTGGAGCTGTCTGGTGAGGCAATCGATGTTGGTGGCTACTAGCAGCTCTTGACGCTCTCCTGAAGAGTCGCCTGGATATTTTTGATCAAATTGAGGTCTGGGCTATTCCCAGATTGACCATTATATGCCCAGAAGAAGAACCAGTTCTCAAAGCACCAGTCTTGCGTCTTTTTGGCCGTGAGAGGAAGGACTTTATCAATCATGAAGAAGAGTTTCTTTGCGTCGGGCACAAAAGTGCGCTCAATCATTTTGCCCCTTTTGGTGCATTTATGGATTAGATAAAGAGACTCGTCTGGAAGGATGTTCCACTAGTTGTATACTTTATTTTTGGTGGCCTTGTTGGTCACTACATGCAATTCTGACACCATCCGGGCGCTCATAACACGCTGATGTGTGTTCCTTTGCCGGATGTTTGAAGGTTGGGACGGGCGGGACGTCGGACGCATCAGCAGCCCCCAACGCGTTGTTCTGCAGGTTTGACGGATGAAATAGCTTCGAAGATGTCTCACCCAACCACAAAGCCAGCTGCCTGTCCTCCTCTGTTCAGGTTTGGCGGTCTTTAGAAAACTTAAATTGACAATCCTGCTGTTAATTCATGAATTTTGGCCATATCGATTGTTTACGGCTTGATTTTCGAATTTTCACGGATTTATGTTTGAATCGTGATACCTTAGACCGGGTACCCGGCCAAAGTAAACCATTTCGCCTGTTTTCGGGTCGACTGTTGTCGTTTGGTCGCGGAAATGGTGACCACCCATTCGGCGCCTGAATTCGCCGAGGTTTTACTGCCGCCAACGGCTTTGCTTTTTAAGTCCTCTTAAGTTTTATTATGCTTCAACCAAAGGTGTAATTGAGTAATACTGGTGCCGAGATCGTTCCGAGTCCCTTCCGCACCAATCCAGCCAAAATAATCACAAACGCTTTCCCTGGCAACGTCAAATTGAGCTCTTTGCCCATTTTGGTCTTGAGCAGCGTATAGCGTCAGCACCACTCGAAGCCGAGAGGTGTTGTAGACCTTCCAAGTCATTTTTCAAAGTAAGGTCACTTTTGTTAGATGAGGCGACAACAAACACGACCAGTCATGTTCCATAACAGCCGGCGCTCATACAAAATCTCCACTGACGGGCGAAATTGTAAGAAAATACATGTTCGCGTAATTAGGGGAAGTTGGGGCAATGCCGGAGTTGGGGCAAAGCCGAAATTCGAGATATTTCTAAAACCGTACGACATGGATGCCACGTCTCAGTGATGCTCTGAAGCTTAAGTCGGCGTCCAAACCAAACAGACTTGGAGTCTATCAGGGCGGTTCACTAAGCTGTTTGCTCTACACGCTTTTCTCAAACGACCTGGGCCTGCATGTGCCGGATGATGTTACCATTGTACAATACGCCGATGACGTGCAGATTTTGACGAGTGGCAAGAAGCAGGACATGGACGTGTTAAAGGCTCGCATGGAACAATCTCTTGGAACACTATACCACTGGTTTTGTCAACATAGGATGAAACTTAACGAGGCGAAAACACAAATGATAGTGATGGGAACTCCTGCAATGCTAAGAGGAATGGAGTCTTTCGTGTTGGAATTCAACGGAGCTCAGATCCAGGCGACAAGTGTTGTAAAAAATCTAGGTGTCACATTTGATTCGCATTTAAAATTCACTGAACACATTGGCTCGGTGGCAAAAAGATGCACGGGCATGTTGATGGCACTGAATCACGCGAAACACGCAATACCTAAGAGCGTACTGCCTTGTCTAGTGCAGGCTCTCGTCATTTCAGTCGTGCGCTACTGTATGTCTGTGTATGGTACGTGTAATGGCACGCAGCTCCACCGGATTCAGAAGCTTCTAAACTTCTGTGCTCGTGTGGTCAGCGGAAGGAGAAGGCGAGAACATGTCTCGGATGTATTTCAACGCTTAGGGTGGATGGATGCCAAGCAGCTTGTCATGTACCACACTGCCTGTACTGTTCAGTCGACGATTACCACTGGACAACCAGAGGCTCTGCTCAGCACCATCGGGCGTCCATCAAACATGCACCATGACCATGCCACCAGAAATGCTGGTCGAATAACGTTACCACGTATCCGTACAGAAACCGGTAAACGTCGCCTGTGTTACCGCGGTGTGACTATCATCAATGAACTGGGGCTCGATCCCGGTATCACAAATTTTAAAAGACACCTAAAAAGTGTGATCATGTCTCAACCGCCTTGAAACGCTCGTTTTACGCGTCATTGTCTGGATGTCTATATGATAGTCTGTATATGAATGCATGTGATGTGCTTGTCCCTGCTATATCCCTTGTCAATTGACGTGCAATGGTGAAAAGCCACCGTGCTGTGGACTTATTGCTAATAAACGAATCTGAATCTGAATCTAAGTGACTACAATTATCGCATGTTTGTTACGAGTTGTCATTTGGAATACTTCGGCTGTGAGGGCGCCAAAAGCGTTTTCAAGGTACGTTTCCCTTGTACTACATGCGCCTTTGAAGCTGCATTTCTTACTCATTATGCTACCGTTTGTCTGGCCAATTCGGTCAAGTAATCTTCAGCATGTCTTTGCATAAGTGTGCTGCCTATTTGAAATTTATACAGCACGTTTAAAAGTTATGGGCCTGCAAATGAAAGTATGGCTGGCTGGGGTAATGCCGAAAACGTGCAATTACGCACGTTAAAGCACGCTACGTGGACTTTACTGCTGTAGAATAGCAACGCGGATTTTTAGTCAAACAAATTACACTTTCAGCCGGCACAACGGCCTGTTACCTATAAGGAATGATTTACCTAGCATTTTTTTTTATTATATCACACAATTATAACTTCCAGTGTGCACCAAGCGTCCTCAAGCTCTTAAAACGCGTGTCAGCTTTGATGAATTTTGGATAAAGTTTAAGAAATTGGCAAAACATCAATGTCGGCATTCCTCGTAGATCATTTATCCCATTTTCGGCTTTCCCCGCAGTCCGGGGCAACGCCGAAAAAGTCAGTTCTTTGATATTTTTAGTTTTTGCGCTTAAAGGTATGCGAATTCATCAAATGCGCCTGGTATGTTTGAAAGACAAAAGACTGGCCTCTCGAATGACGCCAACAAGAATAGCTTATGTTGTCTACCTTGCGTGCTACGGGCGTCAGAAAAAAGTATTCGGCGTTCCCCCAACTTCCCCTACTTTCCACCCTGTAGTATGAACAGTATCCTGTGTAGAGCGTATACTTTCCGCTACTATTTGAGCTCATTGCGTGAGTTAAAAACAACAGATGAGTAGTGCATGCAATGTTCTGGCGCAGCATCTGTCGTGTAGTCAAGTTTCTAGTTTGTGCGGCCACCCAATAAGCAAAACAGGGACCATGGAGAGGCGTAGCTTGGTGGACAGAAGATCACTGGCTTACTATTTTTTACATTTATATAAGCATTATGTAGTTTTCCTACCAGTTATCAAACTATGTAAATGGGTTTAGACCATTTCGATCAAAGCAACATCCCATTCATATGCTGTTGTGTTGACCATCCTAATAACTCGAACAAATCAGAGCGGCCTGTCCAGCCCACGCCCTCCGAGCATGTGTTCAAGACACGCGCCTGCACTGGGTGTCGAGACTAATGTAAATATATGCAGGCAGACTTGTTTAAAAATGCTGAAACCCCAATGACACAGTACATCAGGCTTGATAAGACTCGGATCCTGATGAATGTGTCTGGATCGGATCTGACCAGGTTGGCGGCCCTATTTATTCGCCGGCTGCCTCCGTCCGATGGCACCGTGTCGCCCAGCTGATTGCCTCCAACACACGAGTCTACTGATGCTCATCAAGTCGACATTTGTTTTCATGTATATACTTTGGCGTTAGCCCGCGACCTGGTGGGGGGGGGGGCTATTTTTTGCCCCCCCCCTCCAGACTTTTCGATATATCTCCAGAACCGCTGAGCCGATCGTCACCAAACTTTCAGTACCCTCCCGGACATCAATTTTACACATTGTGACCAAACATTTTTCCAAAGGCTATGATAGGTTGGCCGGAAATGACGTCAGA